TTCTTATTTCTTACTAATATCTCAACATTTGATTTCTCAAATCCAACGATCCTAAAGTTTTGTAAAATTAAAAAAAATACATCATGTAATTGGATTCTAGCCCTATATATATATAACTACACATATTCGACAAAAACTATCAATATTCAATTTATTGATCAACTAATCTAGATAGGGTATTGCATAGGTCTATTTATGGAACGACTCTTCTAACTCATTTAGCTCTATTCACAATGTCAGGATCTAAATCTCTGCTCTTACTTAAAAGATCTAGTATCTCACCATAAACAAATAAATTATGTAATTTGAACTCACGACGTGAAATAAATTATGTATTATCATACACTTATACATCATAAACAAATAAATCATGTTACTTAAATTTATTTAATTTTGGTACAAAAAAAATAGGTCACAGGTGACTCTTCTAATCCAGGATTAAAGTATACTTAATATCGAGTTAGGAGTTACATAAGAATTTATAGATTGTCCATCAAAACTAATAAAGTCCAAGAAAAAACAAAAAAACACACCCAGACCGCATCCATATATGGCCACGTTCTGGGCTTTTGTCGAGTTAAAGGTTGGTATTTGCGCTGGGTTTTTAGTGCACTCTTGGTTGCTCGGAAAAACCGACACCAAGTTAATTTTTTTTAACATTTTTCGGTTGTACACCTTTTTCGTAACATGTTAACAAGTTGATATTTTAAGTTACGTTCAATAAAAAAGTTATGTTTTTTATAATATTTTCGGTTACATCCGTTTCTTAATCTTAAATTAGACTGTCATACAAGAGAACTTCTTGCTTCAAAGTTTACGCCTACTGCTCAACCGGGACATTCAATCAGATAGATAATGTCACGTTTTGATAACATACAAATTCAATAAAATAAATGAATTTGAAACAAGTGTTATTAGGAATGTGGACCAAATTATAAATATTATGAAGTTTCAAGGGTATATCAATAATAAAATCAAAGTTCAAAGTCAATTTTCAATTTTCAAATTTTAACATAAAGTGGGATTAGGTATATATGTAGGGGGTTCTTACAAATAAAACTCCAACAACAAAAAAATTCTAAAATGGTTCTTTGATCAACGTTTTCCGTTATTGACTAATATAAGTGTAAATATTTCGCCATTAGGATGCTCTAAGTCAACCATAAGTTTATACAAAATCATCTCGATGATTCTTTTCTTTCCCCTTCAACAACTGCTCATGCAACCGAAAACTGATTATTTTTGTCTCTACCGATAGTCACAAGCAGTATTTCCCTCGTAATAGATTTGAAAAAGTATCCACATCAGCAGGAATTAACCGAGCTGTTGGTAAATAGTGAAAAACGTTGGTCAAAGGGTTTTTTTTAGTTAGAGGATCACATTGAAAGAAAAATAATACGATAACCATATTGATTTTTTTTTTTAAAGTATAGGGGCTTTGTGTATCCCTTTGCCTTAAAATAATTTATTGTCACATGGATTTATCAACTTAAAAAAATTGCACAAATCAAATAGTATCAGTGATTAAGAGTTTGTTATTCTTCGTCTCATGTTCGAGTATCGATATGGGCTGTACAGTGCATACGACAATCCTATCCCAGATGGGCTTATTGGGCCCCACCCAAGAGAGCTGGAGGGTGCGTGTGCCACGCGTTTATGAACAGCGGGTGGGCCTTGAAGCGAGGGATTAAAATTTAAAAAAATGGCACAAAAATCAAGCCAAGAAAAGGGAGGACCGTATACGGAAAAGGACCATACCCCATACGGTTAATGTCCGACACACCCACGGCTGCCAGCCTCAACCTTCTGCCACTGGGCCCCACCCAAAAGCATCATTTATTAACATTTTCCTAACAAAAAATAGGACCAGTTAGTGTATACTTTATTATTAAGATCAGCTTTGATACTAATGATTTCTTTACTATAACTTTTTTTTTATAACCACCCCTATCGATTAATTCAGATTTGATATTGTAGAGGACAATCTTCTTAATATAGTTTGTTCCGTTTACAATCGTCAAAATTTGAATTTTTAATTTTATTTAAGAGATCTAATATCTCATCTCACTAAACTAACTGAAAGTTAATTTTATTATAACATTTTTCTATTACATAATAAATAATAATAATTTATTTGATAAATACAATAATATGAAGACGTTATTTGAGAATAAAAAGTCCATCTTATTAAATTAATATTATTTATAAAGGCAAAGTTCACACAGACCCATCTCAAGTATTTTTGAGATTCCAAACAAAAATTGAAAAATATGTCTTTCTAAAATGAAAATATATTTTATTACATCGAATAATTAATTCAATATTACATAAATGAAGTATACAAATGATTAAATTTTGTGAAAATGTATTATTTTTATTATTTGATTAAGAAGACACCTTAAATACAAGTAAGAGAAAAATATAAAAAAATTTAATTGTGGTATAAAAAATTGTTGAATAATCGGGTAAAGAAAATGGAAAGAACACAAGAATTTTAACGAAGTTTAGCAATGTGCTTACGTCCTTGGTGCCCTAGGCGGCGCTAGAATTTTTATTCAATTTCTCAAAGGTTTTTGTTACATCTTATTTTATAATAAATAAATCATGATACATATTTATAAAAATAACCTTATACCGTACCGCGGGCCTCCCCGCACCCCTATCCCACATAATCGTAACTCCTACTATAAGACTTTCTTTATCGGTATATTTATGAGACATATCTAACAGTAAATAACCTAGAACACGAGTTTGAAGATAAACAATCATATTCTTGATAAGTTAACGGATTAATGTTTTGATAGTTTTTGTGCATCGGGTCTCCTAGCTAATTGGATAAAATTATTATTAGGTTTTAATTCTTACGTGTTTTTATCTGAGAGTTTTAATCTTGGTAATAAGAGAAATAATCCTTCATGTTTTTCTTGGCGATTGGTAATTAATTAAGTGAGATTGTGTTATGCATCTGCTTCTTGCTGGTAACCTATAATCAAGTTGTTTGAGATGGATGGATTTTTTTTTTTGTAAATATCAATGATCTAAGTCTTAAATTAATATACCAAAATATTTCTCGATTAGAATCTATCTCCATATCAAATTCTTTTTCTTTTAATTACTTTCTTTACAAAAAAAAATATTTTTAAACATGTTTTTGTTTTTGACGGCTTCAACGACCGCATCAAAAGCATATCGAGAATCTTGTATGTTTAACTGAGGTGAATGATTTCAATAATAAAAGAAAATGTTGTTTTTCCGAAGATCTGAGTTCAAATATCTATATCTGTAAGATATACATGTGTTGTCACTAAATTAAAAAAATTAAAAATATATATATTATCTTATAATTACCCTAGATCAATTTTAAAAAGTTTAAATGAAATGATCAAATTGTTCAATATGAATTGCATAGGGGCTAATTTGCTATTTTATCAGTGAATAACCAAAATAAAACATAGAGTTCCGAGATACTTGTACCATTATTTACTCTAATTTCACAGAAATGGTAATACATGAGTGATAAGTTATTCCTAGAGATGATTACGGGTCAGGTTTTTGGTCAATCCGACCTGATCTGAAATCCAACTGAATTCGACACAACATGAAAATTTTATACTCTACACTCGATTTTGACCTGACCTGATTTTTTAAAATATAAATCTGACCTGACCCAATATAAATTAATGATTTAATTAAAAATAATAAAATTTTTAAGAAAGTTACATTATTATCCTCATATCAGGTTGAGTCGTGATTTTTTTCACCCTCCACCAAACTTGCCGACCGGACTTCATCCCTTAAAAACGCAACCCAAAATCTTTTTTAAAAAAATGTCCTGATTGGGTCAGAACCCTTTGGACGCGAATGAAATTGTCATCCCTAATTATTCCTTAATTTTTTAAGTTTAAGTATCATGAATGTCAAAGATATGATCATTAAATATAAAATAATTAAAATTTATATTTAAATAAATATTATCTTATATTTATCCGAAATGAATAAAAAAATCGACAAGTTAAAAAATTGGGCAAAAATGGAAAGATGGTGAAGAAATGGCAGGATGGAAAATAAAATAGAGGAAGAGGGGCAAAAAGGGAAGGAAGAAGACTGAATGTCCTAATCAAGAAGACCCAGATTGTCTCCTCACACGAGTATCTTCGCACGTTATGAATGTTGTACGACACTTCAACCGCTAATTAATGTTTTGTTCTTTCTTTTTAAAGATTTTTAATTTTTTTTTATAATTGTAAGTTATACATTTAGTATTTAAATTTTTAATTTTTTTTAAAATTATACCTAAAGTTTAATCATTTTAGTATTCCGCAGTTAAAAACTTAAATTTTTATTTAATTTTAGTATATCGTTCAAAATCGAAAGTTTAAGTACTAAAATAAATCAAAACCGATAGATTAAGTACTAAACGCGTCAAATTTCTAACAATGGATACTAAAATGAAATAAAAACTAAATATTAAGTATGATTTAAAAAAAATTGAAAATTTAAGTACTAAAAAGAGTCAAAACTAATAATTTATATACTAAATACATAGTTTATTTTTTTATTTTACTGTGGCACCACCATCTTATATCATTTCTTATTTTTTGTGTGTATTATTTACATAATTAAAATAGCGTTTACAACTTTTAATTTTTTTTGTAACTATTAATATTTAATCTTTTAATCGATTAATTCAGATCGGATATGTAGAGACAAGAACGATGCTCTCGACGCAATTTACAACTTTTAGTTTAATAGATTACAAATGTAAGTTTGATTATCATTAATTTAAATAAAGTTGAGAATTTGGATTCTAACCTTATAAATGGATAGGATACATTAAAAAGATATCTTCTTAATAAATTCATATAATATTCTATTTAATCGATTAATAAATCATGAATTTGTATGAAAGATAATTTGATAATTTAATGTTTTCTCTGTTTAATAAATAAAAGTTGGATGATACTATTAATAAAGTTAGATCCTTTTTGGAAAAATTCTCTCTTTAGTCTTGCCCGTTTGACGCTTCGAGTCCTTGAAGAAAAAGATAAAGCTTTTTTCTACCCAAAACAGTTTTCAGTTGTCTCCATGGCTGCCATTTTTACCATCTGTCTACCAACCAGCCTTTTATTCATTTAGCTCTATGGGTTTTTTTTTTCAATAAATGAAAAAGATGGAAATTCCAGCTGGTGTGGATTCCCCCCTTGTCTTTTTCATTTGATCTCTGAGTTTAGGCTTTGGGATTTTGTAAAAACAACGAAGGATCCGCTTTATCATCTTCAGGGAACACAGACACAAGAGAAAGCTTCGTTTTTTTAGCTACAAAACCTTTCTTCTTCTTCTTGTTTAACTTTTGTTCAAATTGGGTTTCATGTTACAAAATCTGGGTTGTGCTTCTTTTTTGCTTGTCAAGTTCAACTGATTTGATGATTTTCTTTGAGTTTTAGTGCAAACCCATGAAGAATTTTTACTGGTTTAAGCAAATCTCAAACAATGTTAAGTTGGAGAGGAGGCTTTCACTCGGAGAATACAAAAGAGCCGTGTCTTGGTCCAAGTATTTGGTTTCCTCCGGTGCTGAGATAAAAGGAGAAGGTGAAGAGGAATGGAGTGCAGACATGTCGCAGTTGCTTATCGGCAACAAGTTCGCTTCAGGTAGACACAGTAGGATTTACAGAGGGATATATAAGCAAAGGGATGTGGCAATTAAAATCATCAGCCAGCCTGAGGAGGATGAGAATTTAGCTAACTTTCTTGAGAACCAGTTCATATCCGAGGTGGCTTTACTTTTTCATCTGAGGCATCCCAATATCATCACTGTAAGTTCTATCTAAAATCTTTGGTACCCTTTTGCCTGCATTATGTTCTTTTTTTTTGCTGACATGGCATCTAGTAATGTTTGAATCATGCATCTTTCTTTGGTGTGGATTTGGAGGAATGTGATGTTTTTGACATAAAGAAACATGGTGATCTAGTTTCTGCCTTTTTGCTTTTTTGATTTCATTGTGACCACATTTGATAAAATTGTACCATATTCAAGCAAGTGTTTAGTGAAACTGAAAAAGATTGCTGAAAATGAATGGATCATGACATATCTGGTAGGAAAGCAACTTTTTTTCTGGAATGGGAATGAGCTGGGGAATCAAACTGCTCTACCTTGAAAAGGGAAAAATGTGCTTATTTTTCCCTTTATAAGATTCCTACTTAAAAGGGTCTTTGTCCTTTGAAATGAGTCAATTAACAACACCAATGCTTAGCTATACTGCCAAAGCAGCCTCACTTCCGATCGAATTTCTGACTATTTTCTTTCCACTCTACCATTTGGCCACTCTTTTATTCCCTTTCTGCGGTTTAGCCCTTCGGTTGGCATTAATCGAGCCTTGTTTATCATAACTATCTGCAAGACATGTGGCATTTAATTCACTTACTGTTGCAATGTGGACTCCTTTAACTTACCCATCTTACTAGCCCTTCGGTTGGCATTAATCGAGCCTTGTTTATCATAACTATCTGCAAGACATGTGGCATTTAATTCACTTACTGTTGCAATGTGGACTCCTTTAACTTACTCATCTTACTAGCCTCGATAAATAACTTATTTTCTTTTACAAAAGTCTGGCATCATACCCTGATATTGCCGTGAGGTAGCATAAATTAGTTCTTGTTGATGAGATGATTCCTAATGGGAAAGAATAACCTGTGCCTATAGGTGTCACATTATTATCTTATATTGGTTGTTTACAAACTGACAAAGCATTTCTCAAGATATTATGCCCACTTTGAACTTCTCTAAAGGTGAGCTACTGTGATTGTTTGGGTTAGGAATTTCTCCCATTCATTGGTTGGTAGAGTTGAAAAATGCGAGGAAAGAAAATGAAATTTTGATAAAATGCATAGTTTTGAGCACTTACATTTCTCTCATTTTCTCTCCCTTTGTCATTCCGATTTGGAATGATTTGTTTTTAAGCATTAGGATGAAAAATCATCATCTTTCCTATTTTCTTTCCTCACTTTTACCCTTTGCCAATCTCCTCTACCATCCTTTCACTTTTCCACTCAACCAAACACACCCAAAGAGTTATTTATCAGTTTGGTTTACTAATGCTTCCTCTGGGAATTTTGGGATGTAAAATGCTTTATCTGTGATTTTCTTGGTGCTAGCATCAAAATTATGAAAGAGTCTGAAATAAATTAAATTCTTTAACATTCTTGCATTACAAAAACAGATTCTCTCCATCCCTTATTCCCCTTGGTGATAATGAAATATTCAAAAGCGAAAAAGAATGAGAAGAAAGTTTGAATCACATAAACCTGCAGATCTCATGCCTCTTACAACCTGTCAGCATGCGATCAATCATCTGCATAAATCACAGTATAATAAGCTGAACCTTTTTCTGCACGACGGGCAACTGCTAGTCTTAAATATTTTAAAGCTTGGGTCTCCATTCTCTTATCACTAATTATTTTTACTTTACCCTCCAATCAGTTTGTTGCAGCTTGTAAGAAGCCTCCTGTTTTCTGTATAATCACTGAGTATCTTGCGGGTGGATCATTAAGAAAGTACCTGCATCAGCAAGAGCCATACTCAGTCCCACATGATTTAGCTCTAAGATTAGCTCTTGATATTGCACGTGGGATGCAGTATCTTCATTCACAAGGAATACTTCACAGGGATCTCAAATCAGAAAATTTACTCCTTGGAGAAGATATGCGAGTGAAGGTGGCAGATTTTGGCATTTCGTGCTTAGAATCTCAGTGTGGTAGCGCAAAGGGATTTACAGGTACTTATCGGTGGATGGCGCCTGAAATGATCAAAGAGAAACATCATACAAAGAAAGTTGATATTTACAGTTTTGGCATTGTCCTCTGGGAGCTTTTAACTGCTCTAACACCATTTGACAACATGACTCCGGAACAAGCTGCATTTGCAGTCTGCCAAAAGGTAAAGAACTTAACTCATTCTTGGTATGAATCTTGAATGCTATCAAGATTCTTTACCTTTGGTGCATGGAAGCCTTTTCTTTTTCCTCTCTCGCTTCGCTGTCCCTTGTACTATTCCATATATTAAGGTCGTGGGTTAGTTCTAATTTGCCAGTTATGTAGGATATAGGTAGCTGGATTGTGGATGGTGACGATCCAATATAATTTATATTGAGGAGTTATCAAACTCATAAGTGATTAGTTTTACACGCATGAGATTCCACTGATTTCCCTATCCTTTTCTCTTAATGGAAGTGCTAATGTGCTAAATGCTAATAGTACACCGAACTAATGCTCCATTTGAATTGATTTGATTTGATGAAGTTCTTCACTTCAGAAACTTTTATATCGAGGAGTTGTCTAATTCACATATAAGTGATCGGTTTTACACATATGAGATTCCACCGATCTCCCTTCCCTTTTCTCATATTGTCAGTGCTAATGTGCTAATATTATGCTGATCTTATGCTCCACATGAATTGCTTTGATTTGATTAAGTTCTCTACTTCAGAATTAAATTCCTTAAAACTAATCATGATCCAATTTGATTTATTTTGAGGAGTTATCTAATTCGTATTAAGTGATTAGTTCTGTACATATGAGATTCCACTGATGTCCCTTCCCTTTTCTCACATAATGGAAGTGCTAATGTTATGCTGAAGTATTGCTTCATATGAATTGATTTGATTTGATGGTGCTCTCTACCTCAAAAACTTTTATAGTTTTTAATCTAGATGATATCATAACAGAGTTGAAGTGGTTTTTTCTTTCAATCTTAGGAGTAGAATAATATAGAATGCAGATGTACTGTTAGATTTTTCGAAGTATGTAAAAAAAAAATTCAGTTAAAGCCATACCGAAAACTTAACGTTGTAGAACTAGGCATGGCATTATACCGAGGCAAGAGAAGTGAAATATTAGATGCTAAAGTCTCGAAGTTGGATGAAGTATCTTTGTTATAAAGGTCTTTGTATATCTTTTCCGATTTTTCGTTATAGTAGCACCCTATAATAATTTCTCATTGCTCAAATTTCTCTTTCGCCTCCACTCTTTTTGTCCCTGCAGTGTTTTGTGAACCTTGATTTTCACCGCATTGGTTTAGTTTGCTTTCAGAACTTGAAAAAATACCGAAACTTTAAGCATCGGCATAAGAGTAGCTGCATAAACTTATTTTGTTATTCATCTCGAGTTTATATTACATTGCTTCATTTGTAACTCAACAGGTATAGTGAGTCCGAGCATTATCATTCCTGAATTTCCTGAGGTTCATATTGTTCTTTCTCTTGATGCTGGAGTAAAATGGTTGATTTTCGTCTTATTACAATTTGTGGGATTCATGCAGAATGCAAGACCGCCGCTACCCTCCTCATGTCCCCCTGCGTTTAGTCATCTCATCAGCCGATGCTGGTCAAGCAATCCCGAGAAGAGACCACCGTTCAATGAGATAGTTTCGATTTTGGAAAGTTATGCCGAGTCTCTCGAAGAGGATCCGGAATTTTTTAAAACTTATAAACCCTCTTCAGGTAGTAGATGCCTACCAAAATGTATTGGTGTTGCCTTTTAGAAAACCTAAGATGTATGTGTGTGATGCTAATGCAAAGTGTACCATATTTTTTACTTGCTTTGGTAGGTTCAGATGTTCAACTGAACTTTTACCTACATATATATGCTATTTTCCTTCCATCTTTATGTGTTTCTGCCAACCTAGAAAGCATTATATATAAAAGGTAAAAGGGAATTAGAGGTCCTATGCTTTAAAAAAAATAATCAATGTGGCCTTTCAACTCATAAAATAAACCTGATGCGGTGGTCCTTTGACCAATTTTTTTCATCGTTGGTCATTACGGTGTTGATGTGACGGTCTATGATGCTAACGTGACAATCCACAGTGGTTGATAACGTGACGGATGACATGGTAGACGGGTTAAATTGGTAACTCAATCATGACAGATGAACTACCACGTCAACATCGTGAATTATCACGTTAGCACCGTAATGGTCAACAACGAAAAACATTGGTCAAAGGATCACATTGGGTTTGTTTTTTGAATTAAAGGATCACATTGAGATAAATAAATAATACGAGGATCATATTAGTTTTTTTTAAAAAAAATACAGGGATCTTTGATTTTTTTTGTCTATATAAAAACATCTTATGTTATTATGACAATGTATATACATCTTGCAGATAATGTATATATCTATTGTAGATAAAACTACTCGAACTCAAGTGACTGTTATATAAAGATATCAATTTTGTCTAAAATTGTTCTTGTATATCTGTGATACTCATAGTGACTGTCATAATATTTGTTGTTTCTATAATTACAATAAACGTAACGAAAATGAATCTGACCCAACTTGAATGTAATTTCTAAAAAAATCGACCCAAACTTTTTTTTTTATAAAAAAGCATACAACCTGATAAGATCGGATCAAGTTGAAATCCGTCAAATCCAGGTCTGTGTCCATCATTGATTCAAGGAGGTCTTAAGCTTTTATATCTAAATAACGTACAAAATTAATTATTAATCTTTTGATATTAAACGTTCACACCTCTGACATTTATAGTGTTTAAACTCGAATCTTCAAAGGATAATAATAATTTTTTCACACAGAAATGACTATATACATAAATGTTTAATATGAACCGGTCTTTAACTCAAAATAAAAATGTACTTAAATATAAATTAATTTAAAGATGGAGACTTTTTTTATAGTGTTCAAACTGGTAGTTCGTTTAACCGACATAACCAAATTACTCAAATTTCATTAACCATTTTTTTAAAATATTAACCGAACTAAGTTCCGGTTAATTCGACCGGTTAACCGAATTAACCGAAATTTATAAATAATATATATTAAATATTTAATATTTTCGGTTAATTTGGTCAGTTAATTCAGTTAAAACTGAAATTTAAATACCCCTAAAGCTAAATAATATATAATATATCAAATATTTAATAATTTTGATTAATTAACCGATTCCGAACCGAATTAACCGAAACCAAAATTTAAAAAATTATTAACTGTTAACCGATCAAATCCAAAATTAACCGACCAAAATTTTGATTTGATCTATTAATTCGATTTTAACCGAACAATAAACATACCTATTTTTTTTATTAAAACATGGGACTTATTTAAGATCTTCTGGTTGATTTTTTTAATAACATTTTATTGTAGTAATAACTCTTGCACGCTCTTGCTTGCAAATGCTTGCTCCATTAATAAATGTTTTTTAATGTATCTGTTACTTGAATACAATTGAATGAAATCATGAAGGTAAAATAATTTTTTTAAATAAATAAAAGAAACAAAAATTCCATTTTACGAAATATAATAGAAATTAGAGTCCTAGTAATTAGGAATGAATATGGGTCGAGATAGATCGAGTTTTTATGAGTCCGACCTAATTCAATAAAAATACAGTCATTGTTTAAAATTTGATTCGATTCGGGTTTAGATTGATTTTATCTGATCTGAAATTTGATTCACCTTTTGCGATAAAACTGGCACCTGACCTGATCCAAGCTAAAACAAATATATATATATATATATCTTAATTTTATTGAGTAAACTATATGTTTAGTATTTAAACTATCAGTTTTGATCTGCTTTAGTATCTAAACTTTCAATTTTTTCAAAACCATACCTAACGTTTAATTTTTGTTTCATTTTAGTACCCATCAAAGACGTTAAGTTAAAAAAAATGAAAGTTTAGATACTAAAACAAACTAGAGTTGATAGTTTAAGTACTAAACGTTTTAAGTTTTTAACGGCGGGGTACTAAAATAAAATAAAAACTAAGCCTTAGGTGTGATTTTGACAAAATTAAAAGTTTAAGTACTAAATACATATCAAAACTGATAGTTTAGACACTAAATGTATGATTTACCCAAATTTTGTTTTGTAAAATAAAAAATCTAATTGGAAAAAATAATATAGACATATATATTATTATAATTATCTACGAATATATAACGTATAGTTACATTATTTTTTGAGTCTAGTTGGATTAAGTGTTTTTTATTTTAAATCTGAACTCCATCAAATCAAATGTATACTCTAAAAAATCCAACATGAACTTTTTTTAAATATCTGAACCAATAAAATTAAGGGCAAATTATACATTTTAGTACATAAATTATTAATTTTGGTTCGTTTTAGTACATAAACTTTCATTTTTTTTCAAAATCATACTTAACATTTAGTTTTTGTTTCATTTTAGTATTCACCGTTAAAACTTAGTGAATTTAGTACCTAAAATATTAGTTTTGGTCATTTTTAGTACCCAAAGTTTTATTTTTTTTAAAAAAATTAACGTTAAAATTTTGAATAGAAGTACTAACATAAAACAAAAATTAAACTTTAGGTATAATTTAAAAAAAATAAAAATTTAATTACTAAAACAAACTAACCCATAATTTACCCTAAAATAACTTTAGGTATAACTGGATCATGCATTGTTTCATAAGGAAAGTTCATTGAAATTTCTCCACCGACAGATACATTTGAATCATCTCTCCCTAGGACAAAAGGCCACAAATTTACGTACTTAATTCCGTAAAAAGTACACATTTCGAAATAATTCCTAGAAAGTACCAAACCTGCACTTCAAAGTTGGTGCCACAGTGTCTTGCTTTGTGACATGGAAAGAAGACAAGCTTACTTCACCAAAGTAGGGTATGAAGTGTAAGGGAAGGTAAGTAAAGTTGAAGACGAGGAAGAGGAAGAGGAAGAGGAAGAGGAAGAAGAAGAAGATTGTGACAGTTTGTCCTTATGAAAAGGTCTCAACATTCTCTCCACCAAAAAACCAAACAATGAAAAGTCAAAACAGGGTTTTGCATTTGTCTGAAAACTACAAAGTCCATGGACCATTATCAACTCCCCACGTGGAAGACACAAAAGTGGTTCGGCGGTTGCAGGCCAGAAAGCCGACTGCCTTAATGCCAATGCCATTTTATATCAGAATAAAATTAGACATCCTAATCCTGATACCATTTTAATTTACAACCCACAAATTTTTTTTATAGTCTTTACACCTTCATTTCCCTATTTTTGTGTGTGCCCTTTTTACCTTTCTCTGGATCTCCCCTCCTCCCTCCCTTCTTCAAAGCAGGTAACTTTATTTTTCTTTCTATGTGAAACCCAGAAAAGATATCATCTTGTTTGTTGTTTGTTCTTCTTTCATGGCTGTTCCATTGGGTTATTTTATTATCTACCAGGTCAAAGTCCAGGTGTTTATTGAGGATTGTGTGATATTAAATGTTTTTTGGTTTATTTATGTTGAGTTCGTATGATGATTATGTTTTCTGTATCGGTTGATGGGTTAATGAGTGCATATCTGGGTTGATTTGATTCTTGGAGATCTGATTGGTGAGTTAATGAATATGTGCTTTTTAATGATGAGCTAAAAAAGGGTTTAACTTTTGGGTGTTGTTTGGAATTTGTGGCCTTTTGTAGGTTGCTATCAGATTGGATTTTTCTGTGAAATTTTATGCTCTCTGTTGCTAGGATCTGGAACTTTGGTTTGTGTTTGAATCCATTTGGTGGAGAGATAAGATTAGGATTTTTGTGGGTTTTGGCACATAATGATGCCAGGTCTTCCCATGGATGAAATTAAAGAAGAGACTGTGATGAAGGAAATCAAAGGGAATTTGGTTTCGAACAAGTCCCCGGCACGGAGTCTGCAAAGCCCTCGTGGCACGGATTACCCTGGCAATGGGATGATTCAGGTTGAGACCTCCATTGAGGAGCTTTATGAGAATGTATGTGATATGCAGAGTTCTGATCAGTCGTATTCAAGGCAGAGCTCTGGGTCGTATGGGGAAGAGTCGAGGATCGATTCGGAATTGCGTCATCTTGTTGGAGGAGAGATCAGGGAAATTGAGATAATGCAAGAGGGGGAGGAGGAGGTGCATAAACCAGAAGATGACGCCCATAGTAATTCATCTTCTAAGAAGGGAATCACGTCGAGTGGTAAGAAGTCGAGGGGGCGGTTGGACAAGTCCCGATCCATGGGTGTAAGGTCCATTTCTTCAGGTGATGTGAAGAAAGTTTCTCGGTCACAATTGAACTCCGAAGCATCGATAAAACCCAACGTTAAGGGGAAAACTCCACCCGAGAAACCTCCCATCAATAAGGGGAAAGTAAAGACCCTAAAGAAAACAAGCACGGGAGTCTTGCCTGTGAAGAAAGGGAAAGTGTCAAAGCTACAAAATGGAACCGAGGATGCTTCCGAGGCAGGGTTAGCTAATCCTGATCTCGGGCCGTTTCTACTCAAACAAGCTAGGGATTTGGTGTCTTCAGGAGACAATCTGCAGAAAGCTCTTGAATTAGCTCTCCGAGCAGCAAAATCGTTTGAACTTTGTGGCAGTGGAAAACCCAGTTTAGAACAGGTCATGTGTTTACATGTCACTGCAGCAATATATTGTAGCCTAGGCCAATACAATGAGGCAATTCCTCTTCTCGAGCAATCGATTGAGATTCCTGTGATTGAGGAAGGCCAAGAACATGCCCTGGCTAAGTTTGCTGGTTTTATGCAGTTGGGTGACACTTATGCTATGCTAGGACAGCTAGAGAACTCGCTAACTTGTTACAGAACTGGTTTAGAAGTCCAGAAGCAAGTTCTTGGAGAAACAGATCCTAGAGTTGGAGAGACCTGCCGGTATTTGGCTGAAGCTCATATGCAGGCATTGCAATTTGACGAAGCACAGAGGCTATGTCAAACGGCTCTTGACATTCACAGAGAGAACGGTAGGACGGCTTCTCTTGAAGAGGCAGCAGATAGGAGGCTCATGGGTCTTATATGCGAAACAAAGGGAGATCATGAAGCTGCTTTGGAGCATCTTGTTTTAGCCCGTATGGCCACGGTAGCAAATGGCCAGGAGGCAGATGTGGCTTCTGTTGATTGCAGCATTGGAGACGCGTATTTATCTTTGTCTCGATACGATGAAGCTGTTTTTACCTATCAGAAAGCACTTACAGCTGTTAAGACAACTAAAGGAGAGAATCATCCGGTAGTTGGGTCAGTCTTTGTTCGGTTGGCTGATTTGTATTACAGGACAGGGAAATTAAGGGAATCAACATCTTACTGTGAGAATGCCCTTCGAATTTATGAAAAGCCAATGCCAGGGATTCCCCCGGAGGAGATCGCAAGTGGCCTCATTGATGTTTCTGCCATCTATGAATCGATGAATGACCTTGATCAGGCAATCAAGTTGCTGAAGAAGGCCTTAAAAATATACAATGATGATCCTGGTCAGCAAAGCACAATAGCTGGAATCGAAGCCCAGATGGGAGTAATGTACTACATGCTGGGTAATTATTCAGAATCTTACAACACCTTAAAAAGCGCAATTGCAAAGCTACGTGCATGTAGAGACAGGAAATCTTCCTTCTTCGGAATCGCTCTCAATCAAATGGGGCTGGCTTGTGTGCAGCGCTATGCTATAAAAGAGGCCGTTGAGTTGTTTGAAGAAGCCAAAAGCATTCTTGAGCAAGAGTGTGGACCGTACCACCCTGATACACTCAGCGTATATAGTAATCTCGCAGGCACCTATGATGCAATTGGCAGGTATGCAGAGGGAAAGATATGCTTGTTCAGTTTTAAGATTTTATCGACGAATGTAGAACGTATTCAACTTCTTTCTAACGTTCTTTGCATTCTGTGACATACGATGCTAACACAGGTTGGATGATGCCATAAAAATACTGGAGTACGTCGTTCAGACGAGAGAGGAAAAACTGGGGACTGCAAATCCTGAGGTATACGATGAGAAGAAAAGGTTGGCCGAACTATTGAAGGAAGCAGGAAGAGGCGAGAGCAGAAAAGGCAGATCATTAGAAACCCTTCTCGACGCCAACCCTCATCTGAATTCAAAAGCTGAAAGATTCATGGCATGAATACGACAAGCATGAATTCATGTGATCTATGATATAAGATGTATTATAGGCTCCATTAAAGTGAGAAGATATGAAAGAGAAAGAACAGAAAGGTTGAGGGTGAAAAAAAGTGAATTATTTATTGTAATTTTTATTTTGATTAAAGGTTGCTTCTTTTGTGATTATTACTGGTGCAAGTAAAGATTGTTTGCCGTTGAAATCGGATTTGATTAATAAAGCCAATTCTTGCTTTCATCAAGACTTACTCTGCAATTTGTTTACTTTTTCCGTACTAAGCCTACTGTCCTTAGTCTCGGATCTGAACCGTTGGGAGGAGCAACTAGCCACCAACGACGGCAGCAGAAAACTACCGTTAGTTTTTTTCGAGTGTTTCAGAATGTACTGGTTAAATTTCATATGAAAATGTTCCCACTTAGTGTGCCAAATCATATCATTCTTGACAAAGAGACGTTAAAAGTCGGCCTCGTCGGGCATGAGACTTCTTAAAGGTAAACGAGGGACATATCCTGCCCTTTTTATTTCTAGTGTCAAACTCTCTATCACTGCATATATCTCTTCTGATCGACGGTGTGTATGATCACCCGCAACAAAGATATGGATGTCGTTATCGATTTCAATCCAACTACATCCAGGTTGCTTCTTAAGCCCTGTGTCTTTAATTATTGATCTAACGTTTGCCACTTCATTCGCTTTCCCCAAATCTTCGAGAAGATTTGCAAGGAGGACACGATAACCGATGCTTGTGGCATCAAGTTTGAATACGTGATCTGCCACAACCTTAGCGAGCTTTTCATCACCGTGGCTTCTGCAAGATCCAAGAAGCGAACCCCAGATGCGATCATCAGGCTCACAAGGCATGTCCATGATCAGATCATATGCCTGGCGGAGGTGGCCAGCTCGTCCTAGAAGATCAACCATACAAGTGTAATGCTCAACTTGAGGCTGAAGTTTGTATTCTTCAACCATGCTTTGGAAAAATTTACACCCCATGTCAACCCTCCCAGCATGGCTGCAAGCAGAAAGAAGGGAAGTAAACGTTACGTGGTCCGGCTTCATGCTAGCCTGCTTCATTTTTTCAAAGTAAACTAACATTCTGTCCACGTCGCCGTGCATTCCTAAAGCAGATATTATCGAACTCCAAGATACTTGATTTCTTTCATGCATATTCTCGAATATAGTGCATGAGTAGTTGATGTCTCCGCATTTGGCGTAGGCGGCAATCAGAGAATTGCTCACGAGAACATTCGACTTCCACCCTTGCCGTATAACGAAACAATGAGCCTCCTTACACAGACTCCTAGCTGACAAGTGAGCACAAATAGAAACAATACATGCAATTGTTACAGTATTGGGTCTAATTCCTTCACGCTGCATGTCACAAAATGCTGCTAAAGCTTCATCCACCAGCTCATTCTGAGAATAACCACATATTAGGGCATTCCATGCAACCAAATCCCTGCAGTGCAATCTGGAAAAAATATTTTGCGCAGACTCCATATCTCCACATTTTCCGTACATATCAACTAGAGCACTACCGACATAAAGATCAGAAATGGCCCCTGTTTTAACAGCTAGACAGTGGATCTCCATACCTTTAGACTTGAGAGCCAAGGATGAGCATGAGCGCAACACGGCCAAAAGCATCTGAGAATCGGGAAAACCATACTTTAACATAAAGTTACAGAACAATTCCAGTGCCCTAAAGGGGCAATCACCATGAGCAGAATTCGATATAATGGCACCCCACGCTACCAAATTACCATTGCAGCATCTCCTGAAGATTTTCAAACCAGATTCAGGTTGACAACATTTGAAGTACATCTCTATGAGAGCGGTTTGAATTCTGATGTCATTTTCGAATCCGCGGGTGAGTGTCAATCTGTGGATTTGTTTTCCTAGGTTTAAATCGAGTAACTGTGAGCAGAAAACTAATGCAGCCACTAGGGTTGAAGAGTCTGGTTTAAGTCCAAACTCTAACATCTCAACAAATAATTCAAGTGCCTTGGACAAACACTCATTAGAAACATACCCCGAAATCATGACATTCCAAATCACAGTATTCGTCCTCAGTGATTCTTTGTTAACTGTACTATTGAAAACATGTTCAGCACTTCTTACATCTCCACATTTCATGTACATTTCGATCAATCCACTAACCAAAAACTCATCGGTTTCCAATCCATTTTTCAAAACAAATCCATGAATTTCTCTTCCACAAATCCATGACTTTGTAGAAGCACATGATGAGAGAGCAGAGAGACAACCTACCCGATTTGGGAACAACCCGTGTTCCTTAACCATCAAACTAAACATCATCAGCGAATCCAAGTAATCCTCTGATTGATAGAACCCTGAAATCATGGAATTCCACGAAACCGAATCTCTTTCACTCATTTTATCAAAAACTTGGACTGCATCCGTAATCTCACCGCACTTGAAGTACAATCCCACAAGTGCGTTCACAGCATAAACATCAACCAAAAATCCAAACTTCAACACATGTCCATGGATTTGCCTGCTTCTTTTAACATCTGAAAGCCCGCCGAATGATTTAATCAAACAAGGGAAGAACTTAAAGTCTTGAACTTGGAAACCATCTTGAAGCATTCTAACATAGACCGTTATAGCATCTTCGAACAATCCATGTTCCGTAAACTCCTTAATAAGCTCAATGCTTGAAAACCCACCTTTGTTTTGTGGTTTCTGAGATGGGTTTTCAAGGGAAGTGAACTGGGTTTGAGGTTTGCCAGAAATAGAAGATGGGTTTTTAATAAAAGAAACATTTTTGAAATTAAGAGGCACCGTAGAAGATGATTGAAGGTTTGCTTGACCCATGGAATGATTTTGTAGGTGAAATGAATAGTGATTGAATAGTTTCATAGCTCCCATTTTCGACCTTAGTTCTCTTAGAAGAGACGTGGATACATAAAATCCGATGATCAGATTCTAAAGGATTCATTAACGTAAAGTGTTCACACGACTGGCTGTTTCCGGCGGGCCCAATCTCACAGTTACCGGCCCGGACACATCATACAATACTTTGACTTAAGATGGTAACGAGTTAGGTCGAGTTAAGTTTTTGGTCAACTCAATCCTATTTGAAAATTTTGTATCTTCTACTCGAATCTAACTTAATTCGAAAATTATATATCCTCAACTTGATCTAATCCGATTCGAAAATATATATCATTCATTCGATTTCGACTTGACTCAAATTTTTAGAGTATAAATCAGATTCAACCCATTCTAGTATAAAATAAGAACTTAATTAAAATAATAATATTTTTTTAAAGAAAACTACATTATTATGCTTGGGTGGGGGCAGGTTAGAATTTTTTTGACTCTCCATTCGAACCTGGCCCAACTCAAATCTAATTTTTTAAAAGAATCTGACCTTATCGGATCAGGGTAAAAATGCTGAATTTGTCATCTATATACACTTTTTAATAATATGCATGTTGAGTTGAAAGTTGCTTATGAGAGTTTGATTGGTCATTGAACCGATTCGTTCTTTTCTGTAGGAAAATTAGAGTTTTGGGGTAGTTTTAGAAGAAACAATTTGTCAGCATTCTGTTAGTGATGTGACTATAATAACTATTATCATATTAAATTGGGTGTGGCTTTGAGGGAGATTGGAGTTCTCAAAATGGTTGTCCCTTTTTCCCATATATATATAGGGTAAGGGGGAGGTAAGATAGTAGGCTACCCCCAACACCAGGATTGGCATGTCATCATATCCATTCATCAACTGGGTTTGAAAGCTTATATATGGCTGTGATGAATGTGTGAGTTTGGATAGCAAAATCAGTAAATATGCTTGTCGTTCTAATTTCCTTCGGGACTTTGAAGGAACAAATTCTCAGAAGGTTATATATGGCGAACTCGGAAGTCAAGGTTTGAAGGGTATATCAGTGAGCAGATTAGTCTTCTTTCAAACTTGATAAGCCTGTAAGTACTAGTTATGCTACCCTTCTACGTCCTCAACTCAACATCATGTATACATAGTGAAGATATGAGGAATCAATGATTTACTAAGCATGATTACCTTTCTAACTTGTCGCACTTGGAGCATTTAACACAAGTTATAGTCTTTCATTGTTGCTTCCCTGGGAATGACTTGTCCTGTTAGTGAAAGTTACATGTATTTTTTAAAATTGTTCAGGAACCCGAGTACTAATTCCTTGGACAACACTCTACTAATTGGGCTTGGACAAAAATCCCTTGCACGATTGTAAGTGCTAATTCTTCCATTAAACTGATGTGCACTGCAGACTCTTATAACAGTCTTTCTTCCATTTTTTTTCCTGGCATTTGTTTCCTTCTGCTAGGTGTTCTTTTTACCCTTAACTAACAAAAATATTGTTTGATCACAGTTTGTGCTGTGAACTTCTGTGACAGCCTTTTTCTATAGCAATTTTTCTCTCCTGTTACATTGATTTTTTCTTAACTGGCAAAAATATTGTTTTATCACAGTTTATCTATTTGCATTTTCTTTGTGCATATGGACTTAGTCTTCATGGAGTAGTTGGATATCGATATTTTTTAATCGACTTCTACTTTTCTATGTCCTACTTTGCTTTTCAATGTTTCTGCAAGATGATGATTTGATCATCAGCTCCACGAGTCAACTTTTTTCTTGAATTTAATGTATTTCCTTTGACTTGTATCTTTGTAGGGATTTGTCAAATAATCAATTCTCAGGTTCCATACAAGGTTCTTAACCTTGAGGTCGTGGGATCGAGTCCCATGGAGGGCATTTTCATAATTCGGAGGTCTCCTACGGAAGCTGCTATCAACCTAGTATTGGGTGCAGCCTGCTATCTTACCTCCTCCTTACCCCATTACATATGGGAACAAGGGACAGCCATTTAATCTGCAGCTTGTGTACGTCTCGTCCCTATTGTTTTTAGAGAATTTAACACATTTTCATTTTCTTGATACATGATTGCTCTCTACATGCTGCGTATGATTTCTTTATTCATACAGTTTAAACTTTGTATTAATTGCAATTATCTCAATATGATTATGAAAATATTATGGGCTAAACCTTTTCTGATAATGTGGGGCTGCCTATTTGGACTATTGAACCCTTTTGACTATAACTTTGACCGGTTTTAAACGGCCATTAAACGACATTTGATTTTGTTCGAGTATATCTATTTTGACATTTTTTGACGTACCAAATCCGTTTCCGAAGTCCGTTTCGCCAAATTCAAAATCGAAGGTCTCCAAATCATCAGTCAAACCCGTTGACTTTGACTTTGACCAAAAATTCGAATTTTTGAAAAGTCATACTTTATGTTTTTCGACGTCCTAATTTCGATTCCGCAATATGTTTAGTCAAATTCAGACGTTAAAGTCTCCAAATTGATAGTCAAACCCGAAAAAGTGCATATATACTTAAGAGTTTTAGCTTTGAATGATTAAGTAAGACTTGAGACTGATAAATGATTATTATTTGAAGGTACAAGAGACTATCCTGATCGCTCGACCCAGCTCCTCTAGATCAGTTAAACCGCGTGTGCCAGTATTTACCCGTATGACCCGTAAATCTTATAATTTCATAAATTGATTATGTTACCCTCTAGTAATGTAGTGTTATTATGAATTAGGTTCGAAAACTGTAGCAGAGCGTGGCGAGGCCAGTACTCAGTAGATCTACAGTTTGAACCTATTATCGAGGTGTGTTCCCTAAGTACTATTTAATTGTTTTATCTGTTTTGAAATATGGTATATTGAAAGCTATGATTTATTGTTTATTAATGGTTTATGGACAATGACTGATATATGACTATTGGTTTTCATTAATATATGATAACGATGTTTACTGATTTATGGAAATTATGCTTACTGCATAAATAGTATTTTTGAAATATTGATTTTGGGTTGGATTGAATTACGGAGGTATAGCTCTGATCAAGCCGGTAAACCTTACGGACTTAATGGACTCTTGGGTAGGCTCACGAGCCCCAAGATGCTCTATTAGGTTGGCCCTCTTTGCTGTGTGCTTAGAGTAAGCCCTACGGACCTAAGGATACAGGCCCAAAAGCTTATCCTTAGGTAGGCTTCCTTTTTGCTGTGTGCTTAAGGTAGCCCTACGGATGTGGTTCTGGGGAACTGCGGTTGGTGTACATTAGAAGGGATTTAAACTACGAGTTTCAAAAGTTAAACTTCATTATGATTTTATGATGATTTACTGAACTATTACTTGGTTATTGTACTTACTATGATTTTATTATACTATTGGGACACACTGAGCCTAGCTCACTTTTCGAAAATGTTTTTCCCCTTTCAGATCCTGTTGGTTAGATACCCCAGATCGAGCACTTGGAGAATCAACATATATCTTGAAGTACATCTATTTGTAATGCTTTTATATTTCAAGTTGACTTTATTTTGGTAACATGGGCCTTTATTTGAAGTATTTGTTTCAGAATTGAATATTATTCCGCTATTGATAATTGGTTTATAGTGATCCAAATTCTACGACATGTTTTAAAAATTAAATTTTTAACTATTTAGTTTTATATTCATGAGTTAGGTTTTATCGTAATTTATTATATCCTTTTATAAATGTATTTATAATGTGATTTTATATTGATCGAATAAGGGTTTCAGAAAATGTCTTTAAAAATCATGGATATGATCCGCTAGACTTAGTCGAAACGCATAGGCCGGGTCTAGGGGGTTACATTTAATTGGTATCAGAGCTTTTGGTTTTTAAATCTCGGACTGTGTATGAGTCCAAATTGAAAATACGGTTTTGAAATATTTTTAAAAAAACAAGTTACTAAGGCCATGTCACAAAGTTTTTTATGATTTAAATTGTGTTCGAGACTCCAAGTGCTTATCTAACCCTAGGTTTTATTATCTGTAGTAATCTCGGGATCCACCAAAATGAGTGTTAGACGTGGACGTCAAACTAGCCGTGGACGAGGTCGAGCGACTAGATTTGCAGACCCGATCGATGAGATTCGAGTAAATCCCCCACCTTCGATAGGTGATCCTGCTCCTACGACCCCGACGAATTTGCCTCATACTGCTGCTACTGGCATGACTACACCGATCATATGTGCGATCGATATTGAGTCTGAGTCTACAGGAGTTGCTTTGGATGAGAATTTTGGCAGACAATTTCTGCAGTTGATACAGGGAGCGGTAAGAGCTGCTGGTGTTGTATCCGAGATTCCTATTTCGTAGACTCTAATTGTCAATGGAGTCAGAACTTTTGGGGGACAGATTGGTGAAGCTCCTACTGAAGCTGAAGATTGGCTCCAGGATACTGAGAGACGCATGGATCAGTTGGGTTTGGACCCAACTAAGAGATATCTGGGTGCAGTTGCGATGTTAGATGGCAATGCCCACACCTGGTAGGAGTCAGTGGTCAGTAGTGTTTCGGCTGATCGTTTGACCTGAGGTTTCTTTAAGGAGCGCTTTTGGAGCCGTTTTCTGGGAGAGCGCTATTTAGCTCAGAGACGACAGCAGTTCCAGGACCTGGTTCAAGGAGACATGACCGTTTCTGAGTATTAGATCGAGTTCTTGAAGTTGCTAAAATATGGAGTCAGTATGGTACCTACCGAGAGAGATCGATGTCGTAAATTTGCCCTTGGACTCAGATACGAGCTGCGTAGGTAGGTTGTGACCCATCAGGATGAGATTTTTGATGTGCTGGTAGGTAGAGCGAAGGATGCTGAGGAGGTAGAGACCTTGGCTCCAGCAAGAGACCGTGTTGATCGAGAGCGGCCTGGGAGATTTTCTGGCCCAAACGAGTTCTCCGCACGTCCTGGAAAGAAGACTCGTACTTCGGGTCCTTTTAGAAGCAATACCAGTTCTAGGCCTGCACCATATTCACCCTTAGTTGTCAGTCGAGATGGTTCTTCATTGTGGCCTCATGGACCCCTTTATGAGTATTGTGGTAAACGACACACAGGAGAGTGTCGTAAGAAAATGAGGGTATGCTATCAGTGTGGATCCAATGATCATTTTCGGAGGGATTGTCCACAGTTAGCTCCGTCAGAGCGGACCGCTACCCAGACTCCTGTGCGTTCTCAGACTTCAGTACAGACACTAACTAGAGGTCGTAATCAGGGAAAGCCTTATGGATCAGCATCCAGAGCCGATAGTAGAGCTCGACCCCAGCAGAGTCGAGAGCCTGCAGTTTCAAAGGCTAGACAACCAACTTTGATTTATGCCACCAGACGTCGGGATGATAGAGATGAGCCTGAGGTTATTGCAGGTACATTTACTATTTATTCTATTCCATACTTTGTATTACTGGAAAATGGTTCGACACACTCCTATATATCGAGTTCAGTATCTTGAAACCTTCAGATTTCGATTGAGAACACTGATAATACTGTTACGATTATGAGTCCAGTAGGACGGTCAGTGTTAGTGAATAAAGTACTTCGGCGTTGTCCACTGGAGGTTCAGGGAAAATTTTTTCTCGCTGATCTTATGGAACTTCCTTTAGAGGAGTTTGATTTAATTCTTGGGATGGATTGGTTGAATGAACACAAGGTAAATTTGGATTGCGAATACAAAAGAGCTACTCTGAAGACTTTGGATGGTCGGACTGTTGTGTTAATTGGTGAACGACGTGGCTATCTCTCCAATATAGTTTCAGCTATGGAAATTGATCGTATGATCAGGAAGGGATATGAGACTTTCATTGCCTATATTTTGAACACTAAAGGTTCATTGTCCACGATTGAGGAGATTCGTACAGTTAGCGAGTTTCCTGATGTCTTTCCGGAGGAGTTGCCTGGGTTACCTCCTGATAGAGAGGTAGAGTTCGAGATTGAGACTTATCCAGGATCTGCACCTATTTCTATGGCACCTTATCGCATGGCTCCAAAGGAACTTAAGGAGTTGAAGGTTCAATTGCAAGAATTATTCGATCGAGGATTTATTAGGCATAGTACCTCACCGTGGGGAGCTCCAGTTCTGTTCGTAAAAAAGAATGATGGGTCGTTAAGGCTATGTATTGATTATCGGAAGTTGAACAAGATGACAATCAAGAATAAGTACCCACTACCGAGGATTGACGACTTATTTGATCAATTGCGAGGAGCTATTGTATTCTCTAAGATTGATCTTCGTTCGGGGCATTATCAATTGAAAGTTAAAGGATCCGATGTTGAAAAGACGACCATTCGCACTAGATATGGTCATTATGAATTCTTAGTAATGCCTTTTGGTTTGACGAACGCTCCTGCAGCTTTCATGGATTTGATGAATCGTGTGTTTTGACTATATTTGGATCAATTTGTGGTTGTCTTCATTGATGATATTCTGATCTATTCTCGTACTGAGGCGGAACATGACGAGCATTTGAAGATCGTTCTACGGACTTTGAGAGAGCATCGTCTATATGCCAAACTAAGTAAGTGTGAGTTTTGGCTTCAAGAAGTGTCATTTTTTGGGCATATTATTTCTGCGCATGGTATTCAGGTCGATCCAAGCAAGATCGAGGCTATTTTGAATTGGAAGCGACCCAAGAACGTCTCTGAGATTCGCAGTTTCTTGGGTTTGGCTGGATATTATAGACGTTTTGTCGAGGGCTTCTAGATCATTGATGCTCCTTTGACAAAGTTGTTAAGGAAGAACGTGTCATTTGACTGGGGCGAGGCACAACAAGAGAGCTTTGAGAAATTAAAGGAGGTTTTGACTCAAGCACCAGTGTTGATTCAACCAGAGTCCGGGAAGGATTTTACA